TAAGCTTGATTTATTTGGTAAGCATATTAGAATTATCCAGAACTGGGAGCAAAGCGTTTTCATTGGAACGGATAAAATAAATTGAGTAAATACACAAATATACAAAATGACATAATTATGGCTGTTTCTTAGGTGTGAAACAATCATGGAAGAATTAGTAGTATTGGTTAGAATCATGATTATTGGCGGTTGAAACAATGGATCTTTGTTGGAACATATTGCTTTATGACATTCAGATGTGTTCATAATAGTAAAGGAAAATACAGGAACCTATAGAAGCTAGTGAAGGAGACCAAGTAAAAAGGATTAAACATCAATAAGAACACAGAATGTATGATTGTTAGCAAAAGGAAAAAGCCCAACATACGAATTACAAATTGGAGATATCAAACTCAAAAAAATATGAAAATCTTCATATCTAGGAAGTGTTTTAACAGATAAAGGAAAATGCGACACTGAAATATAAAAGGCTGATTGTCATAAACGAAAGATGTCTTCCAAAAGCTAAGTAAATTATTAAGAAACAATAAAATTCCGTTAGAAACCATGATTGAACAATGCACTACGGATGGCAGTGAATACTGGACAATCTCTTCATAGATGAAGAAGAGAGTTGAATCAACACATTTGGCTTTACAGAAGGATGCCGAAAAATACCATGGACTGATCATGTGAGCAACAACGAAGTTTCAGAGAAAATGGAAACAAAAACAGAATTAACATCACAAGACAGTTAAGATCTCTAGGGCAGATAATGAGGAAAAAGACTTAAAAAAATTTGACACAAACTAAAAGATATATTGAAAACATCAGGAACAGAGGAAAGCAGTGCATAATCCCTGCCTAATGAACTTGTGTAAATGGTTGACAGAACAGAGATTAGAAGCGATAGCAAAAAAAAAAACTTCAAAAAAGACAAATATTACCAAGAACTACAAAGGACAGGAAATATGAGCCATGACCATGCAGGTTTTGAAGAAAAACTCTTCATGAAGAAGAAGAAGAAAAATGAAGAAAAAAGATATATTTTATATGTGGTTTCTTTTTGTTCAATAAGGATTACAAATATTTCATGAAACTGACAGTAGACGGAGAATAAAGCGTACTGAATAGTGTGTTTATATCAAATGTTGTTCTCTGTATTTTGTTTTATATTTCAGACATCGAGCAATCTTTCGTTTTACGTTAAACCTGCCTTGCATAATTGTCATATTTAAATATGGAATCATTTACCATTCGCATGTGTTTGTGTATGTGAATGTGTGTGTGTGCGTGCGTATTTACCTTCATCCATATTGCATTCAGTATATGGGCTTATGAAAGCTTATTCAAATGTAAAGTCCGTAAAGTTTCCGTCCTTCAGATAGAAACTAAAATTATTATGAAAAAAAGGCCACATTTGTTAACCTCGACGATATAACAATACATGTTCGTTCTTTTAGCTTCTCATTACAAAAGATATGTCTAGCCAGACATTACATGTAATAAATATGCGTGCCTATGTTTTGCTGATCTGACGTAAATTTTAACAGACTAACTCTTCTTGAAAATAAAAAGTTCGCTTTTTGAAATTAGTATGATTACAAAAATAAAAAAAATGAAACAGCAATAAATAAAATAAAAAAAAAATAAAAAAGATTTAAAAAAATATAGAGAAATGTTGAATTCTTTGAAAACCCTTTTCACGTTTATGAGTTGAAAAGCCTATTTCAGTGGAAAATAAATAATAAACGCCGCAAGTGGTTGACTAACACTTAAACTGTCCCGAATTCCTTGCTCGTCGTAAGAAATAGTTACGCTCCTTTATTGTTATATATAGTCTCTCCCTATCGTCTCTCTCTCCTCTGTCTGTCTCTCTCACACAATCGTTTTTAATATATATATATATATATATATATATATATATATATATATATTTAGTTTAGATACAAATATTTCATTAAATGCTCTGTTTATAATAAACAGTATTAACAACATTTACCGGCTTGGATATCGAGAAATCTTAAAGAAAATATGACCTTCGACAGGAATCGAACCTGTATTTAAAACGGAACCGCAATATAGCCTGACATGCTATACCATTTAGCGACAGAGGAAGCGTCTGGCTATCATGGTTAAATTACTGTTTTTGAACTTTTGTCGGACTTAGTCGATTCCATAATATATATATATATATATATATATATATATATATATATATATTTATTAAATACTTTTCATTATGTATGTACGAAGCATTAAAAACGATAGAGAATAATTTTTGAGAATTTTTTTTTAAATTTTTTTAAATGTTAATATAAATTCAGTTAGTTATATGCCATGAATGTCCGACATAGACGATCATATATTTTCGATACATGACTGACGAAGCAGAATTTTTACCGAACAGTAGGTTGCCATTGCTTTTAGTAAAAAAACCAGTTGCCAACCAAAGGTATGGAACCCAGTCTGTTCTGCTATTTACCTATAGCTGAGAGGTGAAGATGATTGTGTGTTTTTCCCAAGTGAATGTAATGGATTCGACTGAATTGAACTCCTCAGACAACCGCTATCCATTGTTCCACCGTGCCTCCACGTAAATCACAGCGTATAGTTTGGTTCACTGAATGTAAGTCCAAAGAAAAGTGATCGGTTAACTACCATTGGGCAATATTTACATTATTTTATTTATATTGGAAAATATGGACATTCTTTGCAGTCAACTTTAATCTGCAAAAATTTAAATGCTATGGCAATCGCTATTTACTGTTCTGCTGATTACACTTTCCTGTTCCCGATCATTATTAATGTTTCTGTTCTAATTCTTCCGCACCCTGTAGCCACTTGTGTCTTAGTAGCTTTATGGATTTACTACCTTGCATGGGATGATACCGATTAAAAAATACTATACTCAGTGGATGGAAACACAAGTATTCTTCTAATTAAACAAGTAAATATGACTAAAAAATAAAAATATTAAAATATTAAAATCAGTATTAAACATCATTAATCACTGTCTAAATTAAGTTTGACTAAAAATGACTTCGAAGATATAAACTTTAAATGGATTCGTATGATCGAGCAGAGGCTTGCGAGAGCGTGGGATTATTTATATTGCACAAGTTAAGCAAAAAGAAGTTAATGTGATCTAGAAGGATGGCGGTCTCATATTCATAGAAAACACTAGTGGGGAAAAAGTTAATTTCGTGTGGAAGAAATTATTCAAATTGTTTAAAGAACGAAGATTTTATATCATTGTTGAAACTAGTTTAAAAACCGTCGAATTCTTGGATGTCAAATTACATTTCAACCAGGGTAGAGTAACAAAATATAAGAAAAGAAATAGCAAATTAAATATGTCACTATTAAATCAAACCACCCGAGACGTGTCATCGAAAAGATACCGACAAGCATTGGGCTCAGATTGTCACGTAATTCATCCTCTGCATATATTAAAAAGAATGTTAAAAATGACTACCAGACTGCATTAAAGAAGAAGGCTGCAACAATATATTCAAATTTTGTGATATTTGGCTAAATGCAGTAAACAGTGAAATAAACAAAGAAGAAACTATTTGGTTTACTCCCTCCCTCATGATTAAAGAGTAAAGTTGGCAAAAAGTTTTTCTTAATAATTAAGTAAACATTTTCCTGCATACGGTGTATTCCATAAAATACGATAAAAATTAGCTACAGTTGTATATTCAACACAGAATCAAATAGTATTATCAAATAGCATAATATAAAATTATTAAAAATTTAAACCAGTTAATAACATACATAATTGTAACTCTAGAAGACGTGAAAATTGCCCTCTCAGTGGACAATGTTTAACTGATGGTATGATATATAAAGAGCAGATGTCAAATTTACATGAGTTCTCACTGTGACATAAAATGAGTTTGTGTCATTAAGTACTTTATTTTCGAAATGGCATGATAATTAGAAAAAGGGGGGGCCCTAAAGGAGATCCATCCTGTACCGTCTATTTGAGTATAAATATTACCTGGGGGGCATGCTGATTGCTTGATGGGTTCATGCTAATAATAATTTTTTTTATATAGTGGGTTTTAATATTGATGTGGGAGAGAGAAGTGTGATTGTATACATCACGAATAATGATCTCAATTGTTTTATGGACGGGGACATTAGTAAATAAATTTTGTACATCCAAAGATGCGATTATTTGGTAGTTTGGTTTTACAACATGAAGAATTTGTCTAAATTCATTTGTGGAGTTAATACAATATTTACTGTGGAGGTAGGGAGTAGTTAATTCGTTTAGGGTTTTTGAAAGGTAATATACAGGTGTAGGTATTTGTAAAATGATAGGTCGGAGAGGATGATCTTTTTTATGGATTTTTACATTTCTATAAAGGTAGCCAGGTTGATTGTCACCTATAATCTTTTGAAATTTATAAGATCCCGTTTCAACATTGTTAGCAGTAATAAGTTTATTCATATAGTTTTTAAGTTGGGAGGTGGTGTTATTTGTTAACTTTTTAAATTTATTATGATCGTCGAAAATGGCCTGTAATTTTGATTGGTACTCATGTTTGTTTTAAATAACAATACTATTTTTTTTTTAGTCGTGTGGCTGCTTTTTATTAAAGGGTGTTTATAATTCCATTCAGGTTTTTAAGATAATGGTATTTAATAGATTCGGCTTTAACAATTCTTTTAAATCTAACTGTGTAGTAATATAGTAGCCGTGTTCCAAAGGAAGTATTTGTTGGTATAAAGCTTCACTTTGTGTTTGTTTTATTTGGAGTTCTTAATCCGAATGGTAATGAAGTTGTCGTTGATGTTTGGTAAAAGTATTTTGGTTTTATATAATTTGTTTAGCTTTTTTGTTTATTATGGGATTCATTTTTCGTTTTATGTTGTATTATATAATAAATCCAATATTTCATTAAATCTCAGTTGTAGTAAGATTTGTAAGATTCCTTTAAATACGTAGAATTTCAGTGCTGATTCGTTGTAATTCCTGTTTGGCTGTGTTTATTTGTCGTTTAATGAAGTTCTATTGAAATTTCCTGGTATTGGGATCATTTATCTCTCTCTCTCTCTCTCTCTCTCTCTCTCTCTCTCTCTCTCTGTATATGTATATATATATATATATATATATATATATATATATATGTATGTATATGTGTGTGTGTGTGTGTATATATATATATATATATATATATATATATATATATAATTCAGTACTTGACAATTGCATCAGTATGAAAACTCAGAGTTATTGCAAATAATGTATGGCATTTAACACACACACACACACACACACACACACACACACACACACACACACACACACACACACATATATATATATATATATTAAATGGCTCTTTTATTTAACATTGAGCACTAGTGTATCTATATGTATTTGTATACGCTCTGCTCGTATACATACATACATACTATATAAATCAACAACAGTCTTAGATAAAAAATAACTATGACAAAGTGAAAAGTTTTCGCTTGATTTTTTTTTTCGTCCTTTTTCGACTTCATTGGACTATGAAGTCTAAAAGGATGAAACGCGTGCCACAAAACTTTCTTTGTCATGGTTTTTCCCCTAGTATATATATATATATATATATATTAAAGATCCTAACTAGCTTCTCAAATATAGTCAACACCTCTAATTTCGTTTTACCTCCACACCTTCTCAGTTTTTAATCTGTTTTAGGGTTATCCTTACATTAAATTTTCAGGTAAATTGTTTGTAAATATTTTTATGATGATGGTGGTGGTGGTGACAGTTTAATGTAGATGACATATTTTCCCAACTGTCCTTAATCCCCAGCAATCCTTCTTTATTTCTTTCCTTTTTTGTGCTTTCATTTTTTTGCTTCAACATTTCAGTCAGTGTTCTTGTTATGTGTAAATGCCAGCGTTCTTGACGCGGATAACTCTATTTTGTGCAGAAACTTGTGTTTTTACATTTGTAGGATTCTCTTTCATTTGAAATGTCGATTCTTTTTGTTATATAATTATTATGGTTATCTTTTGGTGTTTTTTCTTTTTTATCTTACTTTATTTATTTTCTTCACTCCTTTTCAAGTATCAGTCCGGCTTCACTTACAATTAACAAAACAAATATTATTAAAGTAAAATTATTAAAAGATATTTTAAAATTAATTCTTTTTTGTCGATTTTTTGTGGGCATTCCTCTTTAATCTTTATATTTTCCAAATTTTATTTAACTCCTATTTTGTATATTTGTAAATTTTTTTTTTTATACTGATATTCTGTTTCTTGCTCTATTTATTTGCCTCTTCTTTTTTATTTATCTTTTCCCAATATTCCTGTTTTTCTTTTTAAAATTCTTTTCTTTTAAAATTTCTTTTTTATTGTTGTGTTTCTTTAACTATCATTTATTCTTTCTTACTTTTAAGTTTTAATTTTATTCTTTATCCTTTCCAATTTGCCTTTCTTTTTCTTTTTTTCTTTCTTTCTTTTTCCATTTATTCTTTCTTTTTCGTCCCTCGTTTTTTATTTCTCATTCAAAACTAATCTCCTAAATTATTTTTGTTCTGTTACTCTTTTTATGTTTTTTTTTTTTTCTTTCTCTTCGTTTTTTTTTAAATAATGTATTATTCTTTCATAAATTTTGTCTCTTCTTTTTTGCCAATTGCTTTTCACAGCCAATCGACCGATGTCTAAGTATAAACTCGTCGAGCAGCAATCAGGCCATAATGCCATACACTTATTTGAATACTACACAAAACTAAAAAAAGACAAAAAATATTTGTTTATGGTTTTTTTCTTCTAGTTAAATTATTCAATACTGGATATTTGTTGATTGCAGGTTACATAAAAAATACTAATGGCAAATACATAAGAAAACTACAAAAATAAATAAACCAATTCAATACAAGTGGAAAAAAGAATACATGTTGAAAACTTATTTAATGCATTTATTTAAACTTCGATAAATCTTCTCTTAAGTTTCAGAAATCTTAGATTGTGACTAATATACAAAAAAAAAATGTATATGTACATTTACGTATGTATCAACTTACACAAACATACTGTATAACAATTTCCCAGGCAAAGAAAAAAAGACATTTAAATTAAAAAAAAGGTCCCACATTGCCAAACCTCTGTTTGAAAAAAGGCGATTGTGATGAATTAAACTAAGCAAGAACCAAGTTTTTCCATTAGAATTTACAGAAAGATTGATATCTTTCTTTTATCTTACAAAGTTTAAACATTTTTGGACTTGAAATTTTTGTGATAAGATAATTTTTGTAGCATTTTAAAAACATTTTAACGTTTTTTTATACACACAAGAAATTCACAACTACTTGTCGAAGTTCCTCATTGGGCTTATCATACTCATAACAACTTGCCAAACTAAGCTAAGATTATTAATAAATACCAAATACTTAATTAATGATTCTAAAGAATGCCTTTTTAAACGTAATTCAGAACTATTACAATTTGTATAGAAAATCATTGTTCTATAAAATAAGTTTCTTCGACGACTTTATTTTATTTTATGGTGTAAGCTGATGGCCGTAGTAGTTAAAATGACACTTTTTTCATTCATTTCTAAAATGCACACCTGTAAAAGATAATGGATAAAAATTGCTTCCACAGGAAAAAAAAAAATTAACTGTTGAAATCATAAGATGTAAAAATCATGTACGACCCAATTGCTTTTATATTATAATGAATACACAAAACTACATATTCATTCTGATTACGTATAAGATAGGGTTTTTTTTGTTGTTAATTCACCCCAAATCATGGGGAGGCAAAGTGGAGTAATGGATAGTGGCTCGGATTAAGGAATTTGAATTCCAGTCCAATCAATATATTCACTTTGCTAATACTCTTGGAAAAGGTATGATCCTCTTCTTCTCCATCCCAACCAACTATGGGTAAATAGCAGGACAGTTGGATGGCAACTGTTCTACCTCAGAAAGAAATGGGAAAAAACTGCGACGTCCATACGTGATACACCTCTAAGCACATAACTGACTTATAAATATTAATTCACCCAAAGAAATTATAAATCAAAGTTTTTTTTGGGTTTTTTTTTTTTTGTTATTAAATTTTGGCGCTATCTTTTGAAATTATAAATCAAAATTTGTTCGTTTTTAATTAAATTTTGGCACACTTTTTGAGATTATAAGTTTTAAATCAAAATTTGTTTAGCTTGCCATGATGTTGCCAGAGAGAACAGCCTCCACATTATTGGACACAATCTGGCTGTATTTTACCTGGGACTAATTATGTCGGATTGTTGCAAAGGATAAACATCTTTAAAGGATGATCCCAATTATATTCATCTGACTGTAAATCACAGTATGAATTTCGTTAACCCAGAAACATAAGCTCATATGCAAACAATCGAAAGTACCTGGCGGAAAGCCAAAATGAAGAATATGTCAGAACTCATCGCAGCATGATAGACTCCTTTTATGTGAGTTCCTTGGAGACGTAAGAAAAAATATAACAATGAATGCATTTATTTAACAAATTATGAAGGAGGTTTCTGAATTTTGTGTGTGATTTTTAGTAATAATTTTTTCTGTTTGGGGTGAATTACCAGAAAAGTTCAAACTTTCACAATTAATTTTAACGCTTACATTTCATAAGTGATTACAAATGTAGTTATAAAAGAGTGTATACACAATAAATGTGTAAGTCAACAAATAAATCAATGACAAGGCAAGGGACCAGTCTATTTTCCGATTGTCTATTTTCCATTCAATTTGCCTAATCTCCAGATTTATTCTGAGAACTTTAACACATATACACACATTTCTCCCAGATATTGTTGTGATTAAATTTAGTAATCATAGACGCCACAAGCGTTTTTCTCAAACGGTGTTTTTATTTTTCGTTTCCCCGCAGCCTGTGCAACCTGCGTTACAGTCATTAATAAAGAATTTGTGCGTCAAGACTTGAACCTGCGTATCCGCCTTGTATGAGAAACCACCGTTTATCCTGTGTGCTTTGACAATCCGGCTTAGAGAGGGCTTCAAGGTCAATCAAGGTTTGAAGCTTGCTTTGCACATTAATGTTCAGATTTTTCCTGAAAGCCATATCTGCTCATGATTCGTGTCCGAAGCGCAAGAAGCAATTTTAAAGAATGAATAGATTTTTAATTTGAACTTAACATATTTGTATTATTTCAAGTATTGTTTTAATGGATACGATACAAGGGAATTGTACGAGGAGGGGGAAGTTGGTTTTGTTGATGTTTACGCGTTCAGTTTCTCTACCAGATAACCAAAAATTATGTTTTATAATTTCAAAAATATTTAATATAGAATCCAAATGACAGTCACTCCATTAAAAAAAAAAAAAAAATGTTATCCATTTTTAAGGGGTTGGTGCTATGGGAGGTAAAACAGACAAAACTGAACCTGGCTCTCATGATCTCAAGTTGAGAGAAACGATAGCTTAGTTTTATTTTTGTCTTTATTCTCCATAGGTTTTATAGGACTAATTGATTAATCTATTACCAGTTTATCATCATTGTATTTCGTTATATTATCGTCTGAGATTATTTTGAAAAAATTATATATACTATAGATGAAAAATGTCCCAAATTTAAACAAAAAACAAAAAAAGTTTTATCGTCAAATGAATTTATTTTTAAATTTGGCTTTTTATTACGTCAATGTTATTTTATGTGATCTCTATATTTAAAAGACGCCCTGTTTTTTAGAGATTTTGTTTTTTTTAGGAACAGGGTGACGTAGGTTCGAAACTGCCGGGGTACATACTTTATTACTTTTTCTGTGTGAGTAGGCTGGTAGGACTTTACTAAACACTGTTTAAACGGCGTCTATATCAGTCATGAGTACTACTAAAAAAATAACGTTGAAGTAATATATTACAAAGCATTCATGAAAATGAGCATATACCATGATGAAAAAAATACCCCAACTTAAAAAACAGAGCTTATCGTAAAAAAATCTGTTATTATTCAGAGAAAAGACAAAAAGAATTTTTATTATTAAATAATATTTTAATCCTTTATTGAACATTCGAAATTTTCGTTAAAAAGTGGGGCGAAGATTAGTATAAGAAATTCTAGCGTTTTTTTACGATGAAAATATTGATTTGTAGATTCTAAAAAAAAATTCGTAATTGTCGTATTTTAGCTGAAACTTGAGGACTTATTCACAAATGAAATGAAATTATTTAGAAATTTTCCTTTTATTTAGCTTTTTTCTTTTTTTTTTTATTGTAGCTCTGAATAAATTGTCTCTTTGCTATTTCTTGTTCACCATCACATTTACTGAAGCTCAAAATATGTCATGTTAGCTTCCTCTGTCCTCTTGCCATCAATCTGTTCTAAGGAGTATCGGTGTTTCCAAGCCCTCTTCCTCGTTATGTGTCCTAGAAATTTCAACCGTTTCTTCGCCATGTTAAGTATAAGTTTCTTTGGTTTCCATTCTAAAACTTCTAATGTTGTTCAGTTCATTGCTTATTTACTAGATTATAAAATATAAGAACCAAATTAATAAATATCGGCTGCTTACCATTTTATAAAGAAATAATATGAAAACAATTTTTTATTCATAAACTGTATAAAATGTCTGTGAAAGAAAAGGTGCAACACATAATGCTGAGTAACTTGTTATAAATTAGATCCTTCAGATTCGCTAACAAATGAGCATACCATGATGAAAAATGTCCCAAACTTAATAAAACAGAGTTTATTGTCAAAATCTTGTTATTAAGAGAAAAACAAAGATTGTTTTTGAAGTCGTTTTAGAACTTTTATTTCTTTCGTTAGCAAGTGATTATGTAAATTAGTATAAGAAATTTTAACGTTTTTGCGGTGAAAAACACGTTGATTTGGTAATTCTTAAATATCAAATAATTGTCGGATTTTAATGGAATTAAAAGACTTATTAACAAATAAATGGAGTTTTTTTTTTTTCTTTAGAACTTTTTTTTTAATTGTAAACCATCACCTTCATATAACACTTATTTAATTTATGAAAGTCCTGAAATTCTATTTGTTTCACATATTTTTAATAGATTTTAAGAAATCTTTAAATTTAAATCATCAATTTTCTTTTTGGGTAAAACAGAAACCCAGTTACCTAAGGTTATCTCTCTGAATAGTAAAAAAAAAAAGAAGTAATTGTAATGAACCAAGACATTATATAATTAAAACTTTTAATTTAATTTATTTTAGGATGTTACTGCATTAAGAAACAATTTTGGATGAATAATCAACTTTTTGCAAGAATTATTTATATTTTTTTTTTTAAATTTTAAATTCTGTATTAATTTGTACTGTTGATATTGTTATAAAGCAAAAATATATTTAATAATGATATGTGTGAATACTTACAATTCAGCGACCATCAATATTTTATAAATTATTTAAATTGTGTGTGTGTGTGTGTGTGTGTGTGTGTGTATATATAATATATATATATATATAAAAACAACACGATTTTTATAAATACAGACACCTATATGACATCAGAAAATAAGAGTATAAATATAGTCACTTTTTAAAAAACCAAAAACTAAATTCAAAACATTACTTAGAACATTTTCTAAATTTTAAGATTACTGTAGTTTTTATATATATATATATATATATAT